TTTTGTATCTAAAATGGATTTTAAATAAAACACTTGATGGCTTCAATGATGCGTCTCCAATTACAAGAGTTCCAATTAATGAGACTCAAAATAAACTTGCTCGGATTGAAATACCACTAACAAATATAGCTCAAGTTAAAACATTACTAATTAAAAGGACTCATGGACCAAATAAGCAACCATGAAAAAAGAAAGCTATAACATGTGTTGATTCTCGTATTATTTCTATAGAAGTTCCTACTACACTTATGGGACCACCAATTAATGACAATATGTCTATGCACATTATACCTTTATTTCATTCTATAATTTTTTTTGAAAATAGAAAAAATAAAACTGAATTGAGTATAGAATTATCCGTTCTATATTGTACTACAAATGACCTTTGGGATAGACCATCAATTATAATAGATGAATCATTTTCATTCATAATGACAGAAGTTCTTTCTTATGAGAAGGAAGATCCTGAACCTCAAACTATTTAGGAATGAATACGTCGCTCTCACTAATTAAAATGAAAAACTACCATCAAGGAAGAATATGCTTCTTTGCATAAGACAAAAGTCTTCAGTCCAATTGTGGACATTCTTACTTCTTGCCTTGTGGGATATAAGATGATATTAATATGCAAGAGAGATGCTAAAAATCAAATAACCTGTTATAAAACTTGTCTTGTTGCTCAAGGATTTACTTGATAATTTGGCATTGATTATGAATCTACATATTTTTTAATCATGGATTCAATTATATTCCAATATATTATTAGAATGGTAGTTCATGCCATCCTTGAAATGCGTCTCATAGATGTGATAACTGCATATTTGTATGGTTCATTTGATGCAAATATTTATATGAAAACTCCATGTGGTTTGAAAGGAGGAATTCCAAATATCCGTGCTATAAGATGATATCATGGTATTAAATTACATAAGGCCATATATGATCTAAAACAATCTGGACACATGTAGTATCAATGTCTCCAAGATTATTTAATTATAAATAATTTTGTAAATGATCCACTAATCCCTTATTTATTTATCAAACAAAATAAAATAGGATTTGTAATTATTGCTATATATGTTGATGATTTTATCGTATTGGAGATTAGATCTGCATGTATTGCACCTACTTATCTACTTATATATGAATTTGAGATAAAAATACTAAGAAAAATAACTTTCTGCATTAGTCTTCAGATTATGCATTTCAAAGATTGTAGCATTTTTTTTCTATCAATTAATTTATATTAGACAAATCTTACAAAGATTCAATATGATTGATGCTTATCCATTATCCACACCAATGATTGGATGAGGTCATAATGGTCATAATCCATATCGTTTGTGCAAGGAGGAGGAAGAAATATTATAAGAGCAATATATATACCTCGTAGCGATTGGAGCACTTTTATATTTAGCCACATCTATCAGACCAAATATTGCATTCGCACTTAGTGTTCTTGCAAGACATAGTGCACATTGTTGTATTACGTGTTGTCTTACTCAGGAATGCACCTGTCACCTAGCTGTGGAAGGTGAGATTGTGTTTTACAAGTAGCCAAGAAATCCTAATAGATTTTGTCCATATGAGAAGAATATAATCTGAGTTTCAATTCAAAAGTGCTAAAAAAACTCTTCTTAATAGTTTTAACTATACATAAACTCCAATTACCTTGTTACTTTCATATTTAAGCAATTTAGATTTTTCTTGTAAGCCCCAATCCTAATCAGTGAGCTTTAACAAGCTGTAACATCCAATCTAATTGTCCACTTGATGTAGAATTTTGCATGCAATTTTCAATGTAAGTCTTCTATATGCTCAAGAATTTTTAGTCCAATCCAACTTACAAATTGTGAGAAAACCTCCAAAAATTGCACTAATGTTACTTGGCCATCAACTTGAAAAGTGAAGCAAAAATCCTAGCAGTGATTTCTCCCTTTCTAACTATTAACTTTGTCTCAAAATTCATATGTAGCTTGATCTTCAAGTCTTTCAACACCATGCTAATTTTTACCTTAATCCAGTTGATAGATCTTCACATATCATAGAAATCCTATCCAACCTCAAACTGTCACCTTCCGAAATCTTTTTGTGCTAATAACTAGATATTGCTAAACCACGCCATTAAATTACCACAAAATTTTGTATATACTTAGCACACTTAATAATCCAAATAGTATCAAATTTTCAATTGTAGATGTTATACCAATTCCACAAACTAGCTAAAATTACTAGCCTTAACTATATTACATAAAATCCAAATTATTGATACAAACCCTAACTTTGAATAATAATTGCTAAGTCTTCAAAAACCCTCCAAAAAAAATCCTTGTGCCTTTGGAAGGAACTTCAAGCTACCTTTCAAATCCTATCCTCTGATCTTTGAATAAATCCCTAACTTGCCTTCACTGGTCGTTTTAGTAATCAGAGGTCTAATTTTGACCTTGTCTCATAAATGGTCGACCCTCAGATATCAATTTAACTTATCCTAAAGATTTTTTAGCCCAATTCTATCCTTAACTTGACCTTAGTATTAATCATACCAACCATTTATCTCTTCTACTTTGATTTTATCAATTTATGCTCTTTCTAAGATAGTAGAAGAGTCTCTACAATCTAGAAGGTAAAATTACTTACTAACTGTCAACCTATTAACTATTAAGATAAGAAAATAACCTAAGAGGCTTTTATAAAAGCCATGTTTAGTTATCTCAAATTATAATTGAACTAAGATAATTAGATATTGATTAGAAATTCAATTTTGATTATAATTTCACTATGTAGTCGTATTACATCACGACAATATCCAACACTATGACATTCAAATGGTATCAAACTTTTACTACATTATTTAAAAGGTAGTGAAGATTTAGGATTATACTATACACGATTTTCAAATCCAAAATTGGTTGGATGTTCTAATGCATGATATAAATCTGATATTGCAACACCTAAATTTCAAACATGCTATGTATTCTTAAGACATGGAATTGCAATATCATGGAAATTAGTGAAACAAACTATAATTGCAACTTCATCTAACTATGCAAAAATTATTGCCTTACATGAAGCATTTCATGAATGTATTTGGTTGCGATCAATTAATAAACTCATTCAAATAACATGTGGATTTTCATATAATGATTCTCCAACTATCTTATATGAAGATAATAGTGTTTATTTTACACAAATAAAAATTGGTTTTTATTAAAGGAAACAAGAAAAAGGATATTGATCCAAAATATTTTAGTTATATCCATGACTTGATTACTGATCAAATACTTAAGATCAAAAAAATTGAATTTACAAATAATCTTGCTGATTTCTTCACCAAAGCTCTTCCTTTGTGCAACCATTGCCGACTTACTTATGGAATCGGCATGCGGAGACTTGCTTTTCTAGATCAGGAAAGTTAATGAATTCCTAAGATAATGATGTACTCTTTTTCTTTCATCTATGGTTTTGTCCTTAAATATAATTGATTTTCCTAGAAAAAGTTTTAATGAGACAACAATCATTGATCTTACAAGATTACAAAAAAATATAGATCATAATTCTATACATATAAATATTATGACGAATGAAGAAGAGTGTTGAGAGTATTAAATGTAGCTGGTGCTCTCCATACTATTTATTGTAGTCTATAATATTTACTATAGCTATTGTCAAGGACATGAACTAAAAGATGATGCATAAACCAATGAAATCTATGTCAAAGAAAGAATAACAAAATAGAAATAAGGAAGTATGTATATTTAAAAGAAATTGGAATGACTTATTGCTAAAAGACAAGAAAACTTGAGACTCTTGAAACTAGATTAGAAACAAGAAAAGAGTTAACAAGAGTGAAGAGGGCTTCATTCTTGCCTCTATATATACTATCTAAATAGGGGCTACTTGGCAATGTTCTATAAGACCTTCAGTATGTGTTGACTTTGTAGGACACATCCCTTGACTCTCAAGACAAGTTTTTCTATGTGCGGGCTATATAGTTAGCTTGGTCTTCAAGCTAACAACATGTGTGGTACATGGCTAACTTGTTGACCACTTTTTTAACTCAAAAAGTCAATTATAGACACCTAAAAAGTCAAAGTAGCATCTATGAAGCTTTTAGGAAGCTTCTATAGATGATATAATAGAATTAACTTACTTTTATCTATTTCTACTTACTTCAATCTATTTATAGAAGTAATTACTAGCTTACATGTGTATGTCTATGACAGCTACAGTGTTTGGAATGTAGTGGAAAGACACTGTTTATCTTCTCCCCTTCTCTTTGTATAAAGGATATAATCCTATGAATAAACTCACTTTTTATGTGTGTGTTTACATATGTGTGCATATTACTTCTAGCTGCTATTGTCTCTCTTTCTTTAAAACATTCTCAACACATTCAAACTTCCAAATGTATACACATATTGCAAACAGAGCCTGGTTGTAACACCGCTAGGATTACAAACTTGTTTGTATTCCTCAGAACTTGGCACGGTTAAAGGCCACCAAGGTTCACGGAATAAGGCTCAGTCAGATAGTGGGAAAGCCCTGAAACGTTCGTTTGTGACAAGTGTGAACATGTGGGGTTCTCATCGACCTTGGTCTCTCGTCTCCCGAACCCGGGGCAGGAATCCCGAAAAGGAAGTGCGCTAAAACCGTTCGATGGAGTCTACCGATCTGGACCGTTGGTTCACTGAAGTATAAGAAAGAGCCCCTTCATCTTACACCGCGCTTGATTCCCGATCGCCGCGTTCTCGCGCTCACGGCTACAGTCTGCTTAAAGGTGGCAGGCGGGACACAACGCAATCGACGTTCCACGTTGGTCATGCATTTACGGTGTCAATCTCCACCGCACAAGAATCCAGGGCTAGCATCTCGAGTCTGCTTCACACCGTGGTATCTCCCTACACTGCTGACTCGGCATCCACGTGGCAGTCCTTTCGTTCCCTCCCGTTCCACACGGCGTTCTCTTTGTTCTAACCTGGTTGTTTACATGGAAAGTGACAGAGTCCCCGGATCACTAGGGCGTATGTCTCCAGTTGTGAAAAAGAGAGAGAGAGAGAGGCGATCGTCGCAGGACCTCTATGTCGATCGAATGCTTGTTCTTCTCCCATTGCGGCGTTTCAATTCTGTGAGGTACATACCATCGCGGATTTGGCTCGTGTTTAAGCCTCGTTGGCTCGTGTTTAAGCCTCGGCTTGTTGTTAAGAATTAGATGAATGATCACGGAGTGAATTAGGCGGGGTCTTGCGTTTCGAAGCCTTGTTGTTCTCCGCTTTGCTCTCTCTATGTTGTGTTATGTGGGATCGGTGACGTCCGGTGAGGCGATCGGACTCGTGGTGTGGTTATCTGCAAATGTTTGATAGTATGTTTGTTTTATCATGATGTTTCTTGCAACGACGATCCTTTCGTGTGAGGTTTTTTATTTATTTATCTGTTTTGAGAGGTGCGGCTGGGGTTGGCTGTCTAGGAATTTTCTGTAGCTTTGTTAGACCTCATAGCGGTTACGAGGATCTGTGATGCTGCTTGCTTATTTCGGGATGATTTCTTTAAACTGGCTGTGAGGTTTCCGTAGTTCAGGTAGCGCGAGAGGGTTGACCAGAATTGTGCAAGGTAACGGGTGGATTTCGAAGATTTCTTGCAAGTCCACTTTGAGGAGGAAATACATCAAGCTTATGTACTCTCTGTCGTTACTATATGCGTTTGGTGAGGACATTCTGCAAGTGTTTGTTTTTAACCTTTTTTTACTTTGGAAATTAAAGATCCGAATCGTACACCCCAATTCGTCTCTAAGCATCCCGTCGTTTGCTTTATGATTTGTGTGCGTCGAGACTGTCCATCTTCTACATGCATTCAAACAAAGGCCATCATTTATATTGATATGAATTATAAGAATATTATCTGTTCGAGACTTATGGAAAATTCGTAACTAACCTAAGTCTTGTTCAATTTTGACAGTTTATAAGCTGCTGATTTCTGGTTGAGGATTTAGAGTCATGGCATTGGTCACGAGTTTGGTCTCGCCAGTTGTACGAACATTACCGAATTCAGATACTCTTTCGTCAACTTCGGGTTTCTCAACTTCTTTGCGTTCTACGAAATCTCTCACATTGTGTCGTGCCGGAGTTGATTGGTGCGGTTCCGTTGATTTGAGGCCTGGTTGGAGGAGACGGCAAACCTTGAATCGAAGGACAGTAAAGAAGTTTACGGCAAGGCCCAATCATAGCTGGAGGACAGTGTGTGCTGCAGTCTTAGAAAATGCCTCTGGAACAACTACGTTCAGTAAAGAGAATGCTAAATATGAGGTGAATTTACAAATTCCTCTATATCTTGTTTCCCCAACGCGTGGGTAGAGTTGAAGCTGGTTGCTGGTCGCAATGCATGAGTTTCTATTCATGGAGAAGCAGATGTTACCAAATTTCAGAGAATTGGAGTCGATGCTTACCTCTGAACATTCAGTTTACACACTCATTAAGTTATCTAGAATGTGCCAACCGAAAGAAAGTGGTTACATAAGTTGTAGATATGTAAGCAGTCTCAACACTTGTTTGCAGAAAATTAGAGATCTTGGGAGGGAAATTCGTTTCCGATGTTACTTAAACGTCATCAATATAGCGAGATTGCACGGCGGCGAACTGACACAACGTCCTCCTCTGTTGTAGGTTGTGAATCTTGAAGATATTTTGGCCGAACGCGATGCTTGTGGAGTTGGATTCATCGCCAGTTTGAAGAATGAGGCTTCGCATAAAATTGTGAAGGATGCACTCAAGTCTCTAGGATGCATGGAACACCGCGGAGGCTGCCTTGCTGACAACGATTCTGGTGATGGAGCGGGCATAATGACTAGAATTCCATGGGAACTATTTGATCAGTGGTTTAAAGAGCAAGGGCTCCCTCTTCCTGATAAAGCTAAGACGGCCGTGGGCATGGTATTCTTGCCTACGGACTCCGATTCGAGAGCAGCAGCTAAAGCAGGTGAAGAGTGCGACATTGTTTTGCTGCTCGCTGGTGTGTACTTTTGAGACTAACTGTCGCTGATAGAACATGTATCGCGCTCACTGACGATATTTGGTTCTATGTTGCAGTTGTAGAGGGGATTTTAGAGAAGGAGGGCATTGAGGTGCTTGGATGGCGGCAGGTGCCAGTAGATGTGTCAGTACTTGGACCTATCGCCAAGAAAACCTTACCATTAGTGGAACAGGTCTTTGTGAAAGTGTCTATGGAACAAGCAGGGGATGATATCGAAAGAGAACTGTTTATTACTCGTAAGTTAATAGAGAAAGCCAAGGAGAAGGAGCCTTGGAGTGAAGACCTCTACTTCTGTTCTTTCTCCAGCCGAACAATCGTATACAAGGGAATGATGCGATCAACCGTGTTAGGCACATTTTATAGTGACTTTCACAACGATTCATATGTAACCCCGTTCGCTATCTATCACAGACGCTTCAGCACGAACACCAGCCCAAGATGGCCACTTGCTCAACCCATGCGTTTTTTGGGTCATAATGGGGAAATTAACACGATACAGGTAAATCTCTCATTGTCCTCAAGGATGTGGTCATGAAAGTTTGATACTAGCACAGGCTTGAGTTTGTGGTGACTTAGACCTATAGAAATTAAAGTGAGTGTGGTATGTGAATATCGTTTTTATCTGATTTACGAACAGCCACTTTAGTAATGGCTATAGGATTAGATCATGTAAGTGTGTTTCTTATTTGCAAATCGTTATGTGGAGACTGAAGTTACGTTGTTTCTTGTTCTCTGTCTTTAAAGTATTATTCTTCTGTAAGGTACTTATGTGATTTTGTTCTTTGGTGCCTCACTTTCGCAAGCCATCATTTTGTGAATACTTCTATGAATTTAAAAATCTTTTGATAATGTAGGGTAACCTTAACTGGATGCGATCTAGGGAGGCATCTATGACATCCCCTGTTTGGAGAGGACGGGAGGAGGACATTAGACCATTTGGCAATGCTAAGGCCTCTGATTCGGCTAATCTAGACATGGTTGCCGAGGTAAAATATTTCTTATGTTTACAGATGTATTACACTGAAACTTTCAGCAATTTTGACGGATGTCCAAGCAGTTGCGGAAGTGGCATCTTTTCTTCTGATTTCTCTTTTATATTGCATGCAATTTCTTCATGTTAGTTAATCCATGGCTTGCATTGGTAACCAATTTGGACTATACTCTTGAATTGGCAGTTATTAATGAGAAGTGGTCGTAGTCCTGAGGAGACCTTGATGATGTTGATACCAGAAGCCTACATGAATCATCCCACGCTACAGATCAAGTATCCTGAGGTGAGTATACTAGATAGGGAAAGGCAGCTTAGACAGGCTGAGCTTACTTATTACAATACAAAGATTGCCTATTTCCACATAAACTCTTATTAGGGAATGCTAAATTTTTTCCTCTCCACAGGCTGTTGGCTTCTATGAGTATTACAAGGGCCAAATGGAGCCTTGGGATGGACCTGCCCTGGTTGTTTTCAGGTAATTTGGTGATCTGACGTCCATAGCTGTTTGCTGATTTCAGCATTGGTATTGAAGTATTTAGTCGTCTTAGCTGAGGTGTTCGTAATATCCTAAAAATTATTCATTGGGTGCATCTCCTGTATTTGTAGCAACGGGAGGACAGTAGGAGCGTGTCTGGATCGGAATGGACTTCGTCCTGCTCGATTTTGGCGAACAAAAGACGATATTATATATGTGGCTTCTGAGGTAGCTTTCAGATTCTGAATTATCTTTATCCCCCCACCTCCCCCTTCGGATATCAGAATAAGAATAATTAATTTCAACTTTTTTTGTTCAACTCGATGCATTTACAAGTTAGATGCCTGGGATGCTTTTTTTGTTACTACAAGTTTAAGTCTTATCAGGTCGATATTTCTATGCGTTGCAGCAACTAACAGGAATTGTGAAAGTCCTTGTCGAGATTTTTGTGGTAGATTCGGCTGATGCTGTGAATCAGCATCACTTCTCGACTTATGGAATCTACTCTATTTTGTTATGTGTAGGTTGGAGTAATGGATATTGATGATTCTGAAATAGTATTGAAAGGTCGCTTGGGACCAGGGATGATGATTTCGGCGAACCTAGAGACAGGCGAGGTATGTGAAATGATAACTAAGGGGTTCGTTCTCAAGTTGAGTGTGGTGAAGAGCATGCATGATAGAGTTATAGTGCAGCCAACGAATAATGGAACTACGGGTTTTCTTGAAAAGTAATAGGTACGTCGAAGATTAGGGAAATCTTCAGATAAGGAAATCAAATTGTAATTCTTGCGTAACTTCTGCTATGTAGCTTTATGAGAATACTGAAGTGAAGAGGCGAGTTGCAAATGCAAAACCCTACAGTAAATGGTTTGCAGAAGGGAGCAGAGCCTTAGAAGCATCAGAGTATTTATCTCCGTCTTCATTGACCATCGAGGCCCTGTTCAAGCAACAGCAGTATGTCCATCTTTTTCGACAATTCTTTTCTTGCACTACTGGATTTTCTGGTGAATGCATATTTTCAAGATATAATTTGATTATATTTTTTTCTAACTGCAAAAATCAAGTAACCTGTTCAATCAACGCCAATTTTGTAGGATGAATTTCAGCAGAATAGAAAGATAGTTTTTGTTCATATTTTGTGAAAGTATTTTACAATCCGAGCCAAAATACTCAAATTTTTGCCGCTGAAGTTTCGATTCTATCTTCGTGTTAAATTTGATTCATTGTTAAACGGGGAGTTGAATATATGTGCATGGTCGTTTGCATGACCTATGCTAGATGCTTTGGTTACTCCAGCGAGGATGTGCAAATGGTCATAGAGAACATGGCGTCGCAGGGGAAGGAACCTACCTTCAGCATGGGTGATGATACTCCGATGCCTGTTCTCTCTCAAAAGTCGCATTGGTTGTATGACTACTTCAAGCAACGGTTTGCTCAGGTCACAAATCCTGCCATCGATCCATTGCGAGAGGGCCTTGTCATGTCGCTAGAGATCGCTGTCGGAAAGAAAGAGAACCTGCTTGAAGTTGGCCCACAGAATGCAGCCCAGGTGCAATTGCTACAATTGTGACACCTTTGAACCGTTCTTTTTTCTTGAAGATCTATCTACTTGTGATCAGGATTTGAAATGTTAAACAATAGTTAATCAAAAACTGATCCTTTTATCGAAGTGCATGTTCTAACTGATTGAGAATATCTTTTGTTCTAATTTTGGAATTCCTGTCCGCCGGTTTTTATGTATAGGTGACCCTTTTGAGTCCAGTGCTCAACGAAAAAGAGCTAGAACTTTTGAAGATGGACAACGTGCTTAAAGCCAAGACGTTGCGTACTTATTTCAATATTAGTAAAGGGATACCTGGAGCGCTTCAAAGCGCGTTAGACAGCTTATGCCGAGCTGCAGATGATGCTGTGCGTGCAGGCTCTCAGCTCATTATTCTGAGTGACCGCAATAATCATTTAGTAAGTTCTAATTTTCTTTCCTATCTCGTATATACATTCGAGAATGTTATCATTTTAATCCTCTGATTATTCCTTTCCACGATTAGATTTCATGTAGTCAAGATCACAATGGCAAACCTATTAGATTTTCTTCAGGATAGTTAAATTATATACCGAAACAACAATTACAGTTCGCGAGTAGGAAGTGTTTCTGCCTACATTCTTTCTAACTATGCATCCGATCTGGATTGGCTGAACACAAGGATCCAGAAAAGCCCGCAATTCCTCCACTTCTGGCAGTTGGGGCAGTGCATCACCACCTCATCTCTAATGGATTGAGAATGTCAGCCAGCATCATTGTTGACACTGCACAGTGCTTCAGTACACATCACTTTGCTTGTCTCATTGGCTATGGTGCCAGGTGAGTAAACTTAGTACATGCTGCGCATTCCCTGAACATAGGTTATGTTGCTTTTCGATTGTTATGGAAAAGTTCTGTCCGGGGACAAGGCCATAGACTTGCTTGTTGTAATTGAAACTCGAAGCAAAATGTCATCTTGAACGCACGGCAATGGATGGAACAATTAGAGTTGATGCTCAATTAGTACCAATATGAAAATGCTACTTCTACAAAAATGTAGTGATTTTTCTACCAGTATTTCTTTTGGTAATGTATCTCCTTCAGTTGACAGTTGTCATTCTGTTTGCGTCAGTGCTTAATGCAATCTCCGTACTCTTCAACTGTGATTTTAAGTTTGCCTTGTCTTGTGGTATGTGCAGTGGTATTTGTCCTTATTTAGCACTAGAGACCTGTCGACAGTGGCGCGGGAGTACTAAAACAATAGCATTGATGAAGAATGGGAAAATCCCAACATCTTCTGTTGAGCAAGTTCAAGCAAACTACGTCAAGGTTGTTAGCATTCTGGAAAAAATTGATTTCAATGACAGTAACAGAAGTGCGAGATTATAGTTGAGAGCGCTAATGCTAACTCAAAGTTACAATGTTTGCAGGCTGCAAAGGTGGGCCTTTTGAAGATCCTCTCCAAAATGGGCATATCTCTGATGACGAGGTATGAAAGTTGGATACTACTCAGTAATGCGAATGTTGGACATAGTTAATTATGTCTAGTTTCAGTTCCTTTGTCTGATAATACAAGGCCAACACGTGTGCGTACCATTTTAATGCATGAATTGTGTGTGTGTGTGTGTGTGTGTGTAAGAGATAGCTTCAACATCCATGAAAGCTTCACTGATCATGATAGTGGGAATGCAGCTACCACGGTGCTCAAATTTTTGAAATTTATGGGTTGGGCCGAGAAGTTGTGGACCTTGCTTTTCGTGGGAGTGTATCTCGTATAGGTGGCTTAACGCTTGATGAGGTAAGAAAGATGATGAAGTCCTCAATTTTGAATGTTCGAGACTAGTGTGCCTGTACTCAGGTTTTTAGACTGCATCTCAGAATGTTCCTAAAGGACAACCACATCGAAATTATTATGTAGATCAAATTTTGACAAGGTCTTAAGGTTTAGAATATTCATGTGCATTTTGGCGACCAGGTGGCGTGGGAAACTGTATCATTTTGGTCGAAAGGTTTTGGTGAAGACTCAGCAAGAAAGCTGGAAAACTATGGCTTTATACAGTCGAGACCAGGTGGTAAGTGAGGCAGTTGGCTTGACGTCTGGTCAACGCTACATGAGAACTCGATTTCATCAAACCCTATTGATCGAACAGATTTTACTTGTTCTCTTAACCATCTTGATCGAACCTTCTATGTTAGCATGTTAGCCGGCCTTGGTGTAAAAGTTGTTATTTTCGCGGTATGTTTGGTTATTGATGATGTTCGTTTATTGTATTCTTGAAAACCATTGTAGAACGCATAATTTTGAATGCTTGCTGTTTATGCTGCAGGTGAATATCACGGCAACAATCCAGAGATGTCAAAGCTGCTTCACAAGGCAGTTAGGGAGGGAAACAGGGATGCGTATGCTGTATATCTAGAGTATCTTGCTAGTCGACCTGTCAATGTACCATCTTTTTCTCAGCAGTTCCTTGAGTTCATTTGTATTTAGTTCACGTGGAAAACATAGTCAATTTGTTTCTCATGAACATTTGAAGAATAATCAGAAATTATAATATCATTTTTTGACTGCCTTGTATTCTATGTCAGGTTCTTCGTGACATGCTGGAGTTTAAGTCAGACAGGAAACCCATTCCCGTCGAGGATGTGGAATCAGCCTCGAATATTGTATCCCGGTTCTGCACAGGAGGGATGTCCTTGGGAGCCATTTCTAGAGAAACTCATGAAGTTATTGCGGTAGCCATGAACAGAATAGGCGGGAAATCTAATTCAGGAGAAGGGGGTGAGGTAAGAATAAATCACTTCCATCATTTCCGTCTCTGCGACCATGAAATCACCTTGTGTTGGACATGGTAACTCGAAAAACAAAGCAGTTGGAACCAGCGACTTGTTGAATGCCTTGGTATCATGTTCTTTTCCATTATCTCTGAATTTTTCTTGTTGCGGTTTTTGATATCACCTGGAAGTTAATGATGGGAAAGCCCAAAGGATCCCGAGGTCATATTGTAAATGTTTTGGTAACGTAAGTAGCCAAAAACAGCGTAACCTAAGCTAGAATCCTACTTTGCCCATATTTTTGTAATACAACTGGGAATTCGCTATCGCTTTTCCAACATGGATTTTCCAGTTTGTGAGACCTTGTAACTAGATAATTTCTTCATGTATGGAGGCCATCTTTGGTGAAGTTTCGAATCTCCCACTATTTTAATTTTTAGACAACTAACATAGAGCTGGAAACTATGTTATCAGGATCCCGTGAGATGGAAGCATCTGGAGGATGTCGTTGATGGTTTGTCGCCCTTGCTTCCTCATCTGAGGGGATTGAAGAACGGAGATCACGCATCGAGTGCCATCAAGCAGGTTTGGATACAATAGGCGTTTACTGTCTTTAGATAAGTTTTACTTGGATGCTTATCAGAGTTGAGCTTTAAGGTCGAAAGAATTGCCACTTGTATGTTCAACTTCTTCTGTCTCTGGCTTCTATCGGAAATCGACGTGACTTCTATGGGCTTTATTCTGATATTTTTATTTTTACGTTATATATATATATATATATATATACACGTCGAGTTGTTGATGGTGTTTCTTTGCAGGTTGCTTCGGGGCGGTTTGGTGTGACACCTACATTTCTGGCCAATGCAGACCAATTGGAAATAAAGATAGCTCAGGGTGCTAAACCCGGAGAAGGTGGACAGCTTCCTGGAAAAAAAGTTAGTCCATATATTGCTACTTTGCGTAATTCAAAAGCTGGTGTCCCATTGATCTCTCCACCTCCACATCATGATATATACTCCATTGAAGATCTTGCCCAACTAATTTACGATCTTCACCAGGTAAAATAAAAAATTCAACCCTAATCTGCTCATTATCCTTATATACCTAGTGCTTTAGCTGGAAGGAATGTCGATTGCGACTTAATCCATCGAATCCTGTTCTATGTCGCTCACTCCTCATTGGTTTTGTCGCAGGTTAATCCCAAAGCCAAAGTCTCGGTGAAGCTTGTAGCAGAAGTTGGAATCGGTACAGTTGCTTGTGGAGTTGCTAAAGCTAACGCAGATATAATACAGGTATACTTTTCGCACTTCGACAGATTTAAGTATGTTCTGTGTTATCAACCCTGTCAACTTTTGAGTTGTCAATTACGAAACTGGGAAGAAATCTTTTGAGATTACAAAAAGAGGAGTTGTGATAATTGGCAACATATTACTAGAAATATCTTTTGAAGTGAAATTGAATACTCTGCACCTTGAATATGGCATTAAACTTGTCGTGAGAAATTTCTCTCTAGTGGAATTAGTTTCTATGATTACTCAAACCATGAAAGCTCATAAATAAGAGCAGCTGTGAATAGCTGTGTTACTTGCGTCTGGGAAAGTTGTTATGTTCTGGACTTCGATTCATCTGGTCTCATTTGAAAGCTCCAGATATGATTTTCTATTGAGAGGGCTTGATTTGATGTCTTCACCATACACGGGCTTTAAATAGGCGAAAATTATCGTTTGGAATTGCCTCGTCATTGTATAATTCATATATAATTGAGCAATTTAAGAATCAATAGTCTTAACTTGTTCTGGGTTGATGGCTATCTTTTGGCTTTGCAATGCTCGATTGAATGAGCAGATTTCAGGATATGATGGAGGAACTGGGGCTAGCCCCATTAGCTCGATCAAGCACGCTGGGGGTCCTTGGGAGCTTGGTTTAACAGAAACACATCAGGTTAGCTGTTACAACATGATTTTTTTTCATTAAAGAATTTGGTAGATATGATGTGTCTTCATGCTGATTATTATAAGAGTTCTAATGGTGTTCGAATAGTTAAGTTGCAGTTTATGCTTCTGCTGGACGTCTCCCTCCATCTATTTACATTAAAATCACCTCTCATTGATAGAGGGTTGGTTCCTGGCCAACTGAGGGTTTTCTTAAAAACGATCTGTGACTGCTTTGATGACAGGATCTCCTCAAGAATGGTCTTAGGGAAAGAGTAATGCTCAGAGTAGACGGAGGCTTCAAGAGTGGAGTCGATGTGATGATGGGAGCAGCCATGGGTGCTGATGAATATGGCTTCGGTACTGTTGCTATGATTGCCACAGGTTGCATTATGGCACGTATTTGCCATACCAATAATTGCCCTGTTGGAGTTGCAAGTCAGGTAATGCATAGATACTGTTGCGTACTGTTAGACACACTGTTTGTCAAAAAAATAAGGTTAGTTTTATTTTTATTTTTTATCGTAGTGTCTGTCTCGGTAGTTTTACAAAGGATTTATCATAATTTTGTTTTATGACGCACATTTAGTTTCTGGTGGTAAAGATTGATTAATACTAAATGTCTTCCTACTGCCATTTATGTGTTTTAATTAAACTATTGTCTAGTTAACCGACTCTTTTATGAAATCCCGAGGGATATATTGCCGGCAAGTATATCTTCAGTGATATCGTCCCGTGGCATTGTTCACAGCCTTACACGAATTGCGTTTTCTGCTTGCAGAGAGAGGAGTTGCGCGCTCGGTTTCCTGGTGTTCCCGGAGATCTTGTGAATTACTTTTTATATGTCGCTGAAGAGGTGGGCTTTCTTTACACATGTAAGCACTCCATGTCTATGGAAAAAATGGTACATGTATCAGTGGAATATGGTTCATCGTGTGCATCTCTGCAGGTGCGAGGTATGTTGGCTAATCTAGGGTATCAGAAGCTCGATGATATTATTGGACGAACTGACCTGCTTCGGCCAAGAAACGTCAAACTCCGAAAGACAAACCCCTTGGATCTCAGTTTCCTTTTGAAGGCAAGTTATCTTAATCCATTCATTCTTGGTCATGCGAGCAGGATTTGGAGTAGCTTTTGGTCTTGAAATGCTGCACAATGCCACTATGTCACACTTAATATTTTTTGATGAAAATAATCTCTCATATTAGTCACAAGATCAATCATTTGGAGATCTGTGCAGAGTGTTGGATTACCCAAGTGGAGCAGTACACAGATTCGTGGGCAGGAGGTTCATTCCAATGGTGTCATTTTAGATGACATTCTTCTATCTGATCCAGAGGTTTGCATAGCGTTAAACTTCTTCTTGGAGTTATCATCGTTAAATATTGGAGGGTTTAATTTTCTCGAGACTTGTTCAGTAGTTTTACTGTTACAATCGCAGAAACACAACCTTGCGTGATAGGGGCGCCTACTATGGGAAGCACCTACAGAAATTATAACCAGATAAACACAGAATTTAAGCAGAAGCTTCTTGTGAGATTGTGAGATCTACCGACTTGCTCCCCGCCACATTTAACCCATTAGTGCATTGACAGATCTAATTACTAGCGTGATGTGATTCAAGATGTACTAATTGTCATTTGCAGATTGCAGAGGCTATTGAGAAGGCGAAAACATTTGAGAAGACTATTAAAATATTCAATGTTGATCGCTCTGTGTGTGGACGTTTAGCTGGTGTAATTTCTAAAAAGTATGGGGATAATGGATTCCCAGGGCGGCTCAATCTAACGTAAGTTACGTTGTTTTCGTGTTGCTTGGCTGCTGGTGTAGTTGAGCATGAAGAATACCTACTTTATGCAGCGGTACATCATTTTCTAAATAACATAAATTAACCTTGGATTCAGCATGGTGGAGACGTGAACTGAGAATTAGATTTGACGTTGATTGTGTTTGCTGTACCACCTTTTTTCATCAGCAGGACGTTCTACTTCGATTGCAATGGAAACTGATCAGTGCTACTTCCTTTGCAGGTTTGTTGGAAGTGCGGGACAGTCATTTGGTTGTTTTTTGACTCCAGGAATAAACTTGCGTCTAATTGGAGAAGCAAATGATGGTGTTGCCAAGGTATTTCATCCACAGGACATGCCCCTCGTTCCGCTGTAATGTCTTTCCAGGAATAATTACGACGTGTGTGGTTGACTGCAAATATGGGATACAGTTCTCTCGCATGTTTCAAGCGCAACTTTTGTTATTTCTGGTGAAGTTGTATCTAACAAAGGAAGTGACATTGCATCTACTGCGTATTTCTTGGCAGGGAATGGCAGGAGGAGAGGTTGTTGTGGTTCCATATGATAACTGTGGGTACGTGCCAGAGGAGGCAACTATAGTAGGCAATACTTGTCTGTATGGTGCTACAGGAGGCCAGCTATTTGTGAGGGGTAAAGCAGGCGAGAGATTTGCTGTGCGGAACTCTATGGCAGAAGCAGTAATTGAAGGGACTGGCGACCATTGCTGCGAATACATGACCGGTGGTTGTGTAGTGTCCCTTGGCAAGTGAGTATGACAGTTCCTAGTAAAAATTAAGTCGTTGCAGAACTTACACTGAGCTGATATGTATGCATCTTTTGAGGTTTGGGATAGCAGGAAACTTGATCAAATTCCCCATTTGGGATGGGATGGATGGGTTTTGGTCTAAAATTGTGGTGTGTTACACCTGCTCGACGGATGTGTGATATAGGGTTGGTCGCAACGTAGCCGCCGGAATGACTGGTGGCTTAGCTTATTTCCTGGACGAAGATGATACTTTCACGCCCCAGGTATTTCTGCAACATCTACAAATTATGCGTTAGGAGTTAATTTACATTATTAACTCCCAACAATGCGATTTCTTTGAGTGCAATGCTTGAATTAGTAATACTAGAAGACTGGACTTTCTTGTACGTATTCCTGAACGATTTATTTAACCTATGTTGACAGGTGAACAGGGAGATAGTGAAAATGCAACGCGTCACAACTCCTGCTGGGCAAGCACAACTTAGGCTGCTCATCCAGTCCCATACAGTACGACCTTTTAATTTCCTGCGTGTGTCAATTTAACTAATTTTCATGTATGCTCATTTTTGCATTTATTATCATGTCATCTAACTCTGCCTTTTCTGGGGATTGCGGAACAGGAGAAGACAGGGAGTGCCAAGGGGAAGTATGTCCTGGAGAATTGGGACAAGGTTATCCCACAGTTTTGGCAACTTGTGCCTCCAAGTGAGGATTCAACTCCCGAGGCGAAGGCTGGATCTGATGATAAACAAATCGATCGACTTGTTGCACATGCTGCTTGAGTTCAACATCAATTGAAGCCCCACATGCAGTAGCTACCTACCTGTGCCAGAAGCCCTACTAGCAGCAACTCTCATAACCTTCACTTGCTGCAGTACCTCCTGCATTCAGTCCTGTGAGTTCCTTCGAAATATCAACCTGCAAACCAAGTGGGTGTATGCCGGATATGAAACGCATTATGGGGAAGCGGCAACATGGTGAAGCTTAACTATTTCTGACCTCCACTTCGTAATTTCTGTATTCTTCCTAGGCGAGTGGACGTAATTGTCTCCATTGGATTGAGGTTCTTACCTCAACTGAAAATTGGCGGACAGAACTGAGTTTTTCCAGTTCATCGGATCATTCCAGATATATTTGCCAAGATTTCGTAGTGTAATAAGATTGTTTTCTGACAGATATTGCTCAGAAACATGTAGTCCTGTGGGCCAATGACTATCATTTGAAATTGTTTCAGATTGAAAATAACACTCGAATCTGTAGAAGTTACATCAGTTCGTTTCTATTCGCTAGATTCCACATTGAATGAAGGATATCTGCTGTCGTTGTCTGCTCGCCATTGCCACTGGTGATGGCTAAATGAGTATATTACGATGAGACGTGTTTCTTTTTACGGTTTCCTACCAAAGAAAATGTGCCCTATGGAATTGTTCCCAGCCTGTTATATTAATGAGAGATTTTACTCTTATTTTTTGTTGTGCTAGTAATATGGCGTTGAGTTTCAACCTTAGCCAAATATAAATATCTATTACATGCAAACTACATAATCGGCCATAGCTAAGGTATGCTCTCATAGCATTTCCAAGCAACAACTAAAAACGTTGAAGAAGGACTATACTTGGGTAACAATGAAATGCCTTTCAAGATATGTTTTCTTGCATGCTAAAAAGACATACTTTGATTCTACAACTAAGTTACAATCTTAAGGAGGTTGGTGGTGGTTTAATTCACATACTCAACATGGTCTTAACTATGATTGTTGCTATTGATAGAGGTGGAGCAACTCAATTTACACAAGTCAAGAGCGGAGAAGAGAAGATATATGTCATAGTCCAAGTTAGGCCTCTTAGCACAAAGGAGGTTGTGCATTTTGATGTTTTTGATTAGGTATGCACCAATGGCCAAACCATAGCATATAAAGATGCATTAGTAGAGTGATTATTCTTTCCTATTATATTTATATTTAATGAGCTATAACTTAATCAATACAAAGATTTCATTTGTTAATGCATTTATTATATTATAATCTTTTTATAGTCAACAACATGGATTTCTACTAGTCTATTATATAAAACATCTCAAGAGACAAACAAGAGGAGACAAAAACCTTCTTTGCTTGGTTGCATGTATCATTATTTTTGTGAAAAGTGAATCAAAATTAGAATTTACAAGGCCTTAACAAAACCAGGGCATGAAACAAATGAAATCTCAATCCATAATGTATTGTAGGTAGAATCTATCAAATGCTTTGTATGACAAAATATGTTTAATGCAAGCTTTTTGATAATGTTGCAATGGAAACCTTTTTGATATAAGAAACCTTTACTCTTTGCACATTTTTTCTATTTAGGCCTATGGTTTCAACTATGATTATGGCTATTGATAATTATTTCTTTTGTTTGGATATGTGCTATAGTTACAATGTGGTAGAATTTATTCTCTATATGACACCAGTGCAACACTCTTAATATCATTTTTAACTATTGCATTATAGAATTCCATGTAGAAATAATGCTTGTGTATTATAAATTCTACAAATACACATATAAGTCATTGATATCAAACTAGTGATAGTTGACGGAGCTAGCTAGAGAATAGTATAGCAAAGCTGCATGAATTTGTAAATTTGGCTACATACATCTTAAGAGGGTGAAGATGTCTACCTTTAGTAGCGAAGGACAAAGATGTTGCAATTCTTTGATTTCCTCGACAAAATAATGAACTTTGCTTTGATCATTCATAATTGTGCTTTAGATCATAATATGCACATTGTTGGAGTGTAGTACCAAAATCACACTTCTCAACATACTAAGCATTTTTTTTTTCTAATAATAATATGTTCAATATGCAAACTAATTTTTATAAGACTTTGGATGTTATTTTTGTACCATGATATTATGTGTTTCATACTTGCTTGAAGTTTGTCTATGTCTCTTTGTCTTTATTGATTCTATCTTTAATAAGGCTATGAAGTTTTGGATTCATTGATAAAAATTGCTTTAAGCAAAAACTTGCTTCTTGAATCACCTAAGTAATGCTCATCACATACTTCACTTCTTAAATATTAAGGCACATGTCTATTCCAAAACCAATCTCCTTATATATATGTATTCAAAATTTTAGTGTATAGCTATTGACAATAGCTATTGCCAATTCACATGGCCTTGACATGCATGGGAATGTTTTGCTCATGCTACAAGACATTTTATATGCATGTGAGAGCATTGTATGTGCATGTCTATGCACCATTGCAAGACATCATATATGTGAGACATCATGTATGTATTTTTTAATAAAGATCTTGCAATACTAAGATTTCAGAAGAGCAAATCAACACACATTAAGATATTATACAGAAGATCTAAGGACTATGCAATATTATAACAAGATATATGAGTCTTATCATTAAACAATACAATAATAGAACAAGAACTAGACTAAAAGGTCCAAAATTAAACCACATAACATATATTGTTTAAAACAAGAAGACCTTGAACTTCAATACTTATATATACTAGGATTTAGAAAGCTTTTAGATAAGGCTTTGCCTCCAAATCATCCTAGGATGCTTCTTGAGGAGTTTCATTGTTGCTTCATTGTGAATCAACCACAAGAACCTTCTCTTGTAACTTTCTACATTACTTGGGAGTTAATCAACTTTATAAACCTCTTTTGGAAATTTTTAAAATCTTCTAAGATCTTCTAGAACCTTTGATAATTTTTTAAAATCTTCTCTAGATGGATGTTCATGACATCACCTCTTCCTTTGGTTCCAAGTTTCGCAAGGAATAGTTAAGCTATAATTGCTCAAAGATGAAAAAAATCAAAGATAAGCCTCATGGTTTGTGTAATATATTTATATTGTTTTTTATAGGTTAAGAGGCTTATTGGTCCTTGCAACCATTGGTAATAACCAACATCTTTCATTTAAGACTAAGCTTGTATTTAAATATCTTTACTATAAAAATCTCCTTCAAAGATTATTTTTAGACAATCTCTATGAGCATATTCTACTTCAATGATGATTACAAATCATCAATTGTTAGATATTCTTTAACATCTTTGCAGTTCAAAAAATTCTTCCTCTCAAGATTGATGATATAAACTACTTCGATGAGATGGTCCAACATATAAACTATCATTTTTTTAACTATCTATAATTGAAACTATTAAGCTAAAACAAGAAAAACTACCAAATTTAAGGTTCAATTTAATAGATTTGAGTTGCTACTTATATATTCTATAGAGTCTTAATTTAAAAAAAAAAAAAAAAAAAAAAAAAAAAAAGTTACTTCTCTCTTTTTTGTAAAGTAATCTAGAAATCTTTGGAAGTGCAATGTTCATCCTCATAGACTAGATATTATGGCAATATTACTTAGTAGTTATTATACATGCCTAGATTACTAGATATCATGAAAATATCACACGTGTTGCTACTTTTAATTTGGAAGGACATTATTGATGAAAATCTTGTACCTTTTGAGGTACATTTACTAAATTTTGAGTAAACTTCTATGTGCAGTGACTAATAGTATAACCATGCCAATATATAAAGTATTCCAATTGTTCTTGTGATATCTTTGAATCAACTACTTCTTCTATCTCAAAATTTTTATTATTATCTATTTTAATATATCCCAATGGTGCTTGTATTCTTTCTAATATGCATGATTCTTTATAAGATTCAAAAAGAGAAACATGAAAAATATAATGTATTTTTATCAATACTAATAATTCAAAACAATGAGCGACAAGATTAATTTGCTTCGAAATAAGAAATGGCCCTAATCTTCAATAGTCCAATTACTTGCATGGTCAACTTGTCCTTATATTGTATTAAAGGAGCCACACCTTATCATCAATTCCAAAAGAAGGTTGTTTTTATTTAAGTATATTTTTTCTTATTTTATATCTTTGTTGAGCTTCTTCTAATTAAAGTTTCATGAAAGAAATTTTTTTTTGATAGTCTTTTACAACTTAGGCCACTAAAAGTCATAAAAAATAAGTTCTAATATCTTGTTGCATTCAAAATGTGCAACAGCAAGAAAGTCATGATGCACTTAGAAAACACAAAGGCATGCAAGTTCTTTAGGAATATATAGGCATTCTTCAAAGTAAAGAAGGTTTTCTTTAAACTTAAATTTGCTAGAATTATCTTAAATATTATTAATATATTATTTAATATCAAAGGCAAGAAGATCCATAGCCAATGTTGTATAAATCTGAATAAAAAAATAAAGAATCCATTAAAATTGACATAATGGTTGCTTGAAATTACAAGTGCTTAGGTTTTAAGAGTATTATCTATTCTTGATTATATGCTATCTTTCTTTCTTTTGGCACAAGGTATGATTGCTTAGATAAAGCATCTAATAATCTTTGTTGTATTTTAGGTCAATATGTAATGTTGAAGCCAAAACAAGATAGAGACATATTCCATTGAGTTTGGCAACAATTTAAAACATGAACCATCATAAAATATTGAAGATTCTTGTGATCTATATATATAGTCACTAAATATGAAGCACCTTCAAGCAAATGATATTATTTTTAAAAAAAATCTATAATAGCAAGGAATTCTTTATTATAGATTTCATAATTAATCTTAGCAATTAAAAACTTTTAAGAATAAAATACCACTAGATATAGTTTCTTGTTTTTGTTTTCTTTTTTGTTTTTTTTTTGTGATAGTACAACTTCTAGTGCAAAATATAAGTCTCTATATAAATTTTTTTTTAAAAATATGGATGTACTAGAATTAGAATTAAAATAAAAGTCATCTTAAGGTCTTGAAAAGCTATTTTACTTGAGGCCCCTTTTCCAACTTATCTTTATATGTTAATCAAGTAAAAAGAGCCGCCACTTGAAAATAGTTTTTAATAAATATTTGATAAAAATTAGCAAAACTAAGAAAACATTTTACATCTCAAATTGTCTTAGGAATTTTTCAATCTTTACTAGCTTGAACCTTAGCAAACAAAAAATTTATCCAAGAATTCTTGAAAAACATCATTTATCAAATGTTAGAATATAGCTAATGCATTGATTAGACCAAAAGGCATGACGTTGTACTCAAAATGCTCATATCTTGTCCAAAAAGATGTCTTCTATTTATTCCCTTCTTCATTGTGTATCAAATTATAAGTTCCACAAAAGTCAATCTTTATATAGATCTTTTCTTGTCCCAGTTGTTCAAGGAATCATAATATCAATAGTAATGAATAACAATTCTATACCATTATCTTCTTTAAATATTGATAATCAATGCACATTCATAAAAATCCATCTATCTTCTTTACAAAAAGTTTAAATACTCCAACAACTAATTTTGAGTATCAAATGAAATTCTTAAAAAGATTTTCTTAAATGTATTCCCACAAGGCTATTAACTCTATTTGAAAAAGATTATATATTGGTCCAAATAGTAATTGAGCTCTTTTTTGTAATTCTATAGCACAACCATAAGATTGATGTTCATTTTAATGATAGCATGTTTTCAATTTTTTTTCAAAAATACCTTTAAAATCTTGATATTGAATTAGAATATCTTATAAAACTTATTCAATTAAATTTTTTTATTGGAGTAGCATATAATGCAAATGCAACACCATTCTTTGTTGTATGCATAAAGGCAATAGTTCTAAGAAATGATGTAACTTGTTTCCTTCTTTGATGTTTTGATCTTGAAGAAATTTTACAAAGATTCCAATTAACATCAAGATTATGTAATTCAAACCAAGGGAGTTCAATGACAATAGGATTTGCAGGACATTGAATGATGTTGAAGACAACACATAATACTTGATCTCCTAATATCATTTGTGAAGATTGTGTTTCTTCAATAACATCTCTTAATGCAAGTGATCATCCATTGTTACCTTCAATAAGTGTAAGATGAGTCTTCTTCACCAATACTATATATTTATGTATGTGTTTATATATATTAAAAAAAACATATGTCATTGATTACAAAAAAAAAAAAAAAAAAAAAAAAAAAAATGTAAAAGTTTAATTTGTGGAATAATTCCATGTATATTAATCTTGCAATACTACTCTTTGGAATTTGTACATCAACATGTAGATGTTGATCAAAAATTGAGTTATTGCTTTCTTTTGTTTTACTTTTGATAAATACAATGACATATGTAGCAAATCAAAGATGGTTTATGTCTTCTCTAGTTTATCCTCTTAGCTGTTTTATATAAGAAATATCAAAAATAAAAAATAAATAAAAATCAGATCATATTTCATAATAAAAATATAACCAATAAAACAATCAAGTTAGATTTTTTATTTTGTCAAACCACAGACTTTTAGCCTTCTATTGTACCATATTCCAAACATGTGATTTTTTTTTTTTTTTTTTTTTTTTTAATAAAACATTAATATATGACTTTTAAACTCAAATCATCTGATAGGTATACATTTCTTGTGAAAAACCTAGAAAAGTATTCAATTTTATTGGTGGATCTTTCTTCCTATTATTATTTAAAAGAATTAACATTTTTTTTTTATAATGCACTCATTTGTAAATACTAATTTTTTCAAATAAGTTCTTCCCAAGTATCTTCCTACTTTCATCATTCAATATTATTTTTTTCAAAAATACTCTTTTCAACCTCTTTATTTTAATTCCTCTTGTTTTTGCTAATAAATTCAAATAAAAAAGTAACTAGTAAAACTAACATTGAACATTTAAAAAGATCCAATAATCTGGCACTACAAACTACTATACTTATGCAATAGATATTGTGTTCCGAATAAAAAAGTAAACTTAGCCATCATACATAATCACAATTCTAAAATATTGGGTTCTATTTCCAAATCACTCTTTGCCCATAAATTTGATTTAAAAAACATACATTTATACATTTATATATATATAAATATGTATATATATATGATTGTGGTACAATAATTTACCATGTACATCAATTGCTAAAGCTTTTTAATATCCAAGCAGATCAACTACAGGACCCAAGCAAGTGGTTGGGTCTCGCCCACCACACTCGATTGAAACATGTAATAGAAACATATTATATATATATTTATATATATATATATATATATATATATAATATATTATAAAACAAAACAATATAATATATAATAATATAATATAATATATATTATTATATATATACATATACATATATTTTCACACAAATTATGTATTTATGTATCCTCAATAACGAAGGTTGACTCTCTCTTTCGATTCCAAAAAGTAGCAACTGAAATACAGAAAGAAAAAAGTAATAAGAAAGTACGGAAAAAAGAGGAGAGAACGAGATGCGTGTCACGCTCGGAGCTCATCGATTGGCGTCGCGATCCACGACGCGAGATGGGTCTCTAGACAGAGACACACACACATCGATGATGGAAAGGCAACAAAACAAAACAAAAGGAAAAGAAGGAGTTGCATTGGCCAGGACAGGACAAGACAGGAATGGAGCACAAAATGAAGAAAAATAAAAAGAGAGAGAGAGAGAGCACAAGGAAGGACACGCAACGGGGTCATGCATCTTTTTGTGCAAGTGCGTATGTGTCTGCCTTGCTTCGCTTCGCTTGCTTGCTTGGCACATCCAAATGCAATTGACTGAGTAGTGCAGTGAGTAGTGTACTGTACTTTAGTGTAGTGTCTCTGTGTAATATATACATATATATATATATGTGTGTGTGTGTGTGTGTGTATGTATGTATGTATGTATATATGTGTATGTGTGTGTAGGACCCCAAGCTGCTGCTGTTACTGCGGCAGCTCACTCATTGTCGCATAAGATGCAACGTGGGCACTATCCCTCAAACGAACTCCTCACCTTATCAATTATTCTTCCAGTGCGACCAGCAGTATCCAGCCACAGTGCAAATGATTTGCCTTTGTACCGGAGCTCATTGCCAGCTTTACTATGAGTTTTCGTGCGTTAGGGACCCACGGAGGCTCAGAAGTTGCGCAACGGGACTGCAGCTGAAACAAAAACTGCGCACTGGTGACACGACCGTGTCGCAGAGCATGCTCATCGGGCGATCTCTGCACATGGGCAAGTGATTTATAATGGTTTTCCGATAATAAGTTGGCCGAACATGGCGAACGTTTGTAATTTATTCAGCATAAGTTCAATCAGTCTAAATAGAAAGTTCTTGGGGGGGGGAAAAAATAATAAAATAATAAAATAATAAAAAAAGAGAGAGAGAGAGAGAGAGAGAGAGAAGAGTAACAAACTATCTGCATTTTATCTGCCGCAGCTACCTCTTCACTGCCCGCTCAACCAGTGAGTTCTTGTAAAGCTGGATGTATACGCATCAAAAGAGCTTCGATAAGAGCTGTCGGAGTCAATCGACTTTTCATGTCGTGGAAGATGACAGACCTAGATTCTGTTTAAAATAGAAAATAACAAATAAAAAAATTATGTGTATGTGTGTGAATATTTACACACTGCAACCACTTGCCTGACTCAGAGAGTATTGAAACAGTTTCCAAATTTGTGCAAGAACATCAGTCGTCTGCTTTAGACAATCAGCTCATACCATGCATGAATCTAGTGAAGAAGATTCACTACCTTCCCCACTATGAGGTGGACCCAGCTAGATACCACTGCTAAAGTTTTGCCGCCGGGCAGCCACGAATCCTCGTCTGATCTGAATTTCGCTTGTGCGTGACCAAATACTTTGCTCTTTCCCCAAAAGTAGTCTCTCATCATTGACTCTTCTTCTCACTCTCAAAACAATCATCTGCACCCCACACACACCAGAGCTGCTGCAGGTTGTCACGCGGACTTCCAAGCTTTTTGTAGACCACGTTGGAAAATTGGGTACTGTTTACTGGTAGCCTAGCTCCACGTTTGCGTGTTATTCGACGCCACTGACAAATAACTCTTGAAGTTTTTAACTGGATTGCGTTGCGATTGGTAGTTGGTAGAGCACCAATTCCAGACAATGGTTTTCGTAGTGGAGAGAATGAGGTCTATGACATTCCGTACAGCTCATGCGTACCCATCTAACATGCGACGTTTGTGGACTGGTTTTGCTTGTAGATGCGACCGAGATGGTCAGCTTCAGAGCAGATTGCGTGGAAATTTTGTGAAGGTCGAAACCTGTGAATTGCGTTTCTCACTTCAAAGGGCAGCAGTTGACTGGTATTTTGGGGGCGAAACGCGAGATAAGTGGCTTTTTGGGCGGGATGAGAGTAGTGCGGAACGGTGGAGATAGGGATATTCTCGAGTTACTCCAGTTAGGAGTTTCTATTTATAGGAGAAGGGTTGCTTGTGGGTGATCAAGCTAACTGCAAGTTGGAACTTCTAAGACGCGAACTCGGTTGAGCACTAATCGAATTGCAGTCATCTCTAGTCGGGGATTACTTGCTAGGCTTCTGGGTGATCGCTTGTGTGGAGAATAGACCTCAGAACTGCTACTTCAACTGTCATGGTGAGTGCGACGTCGTTTGAGTCCGTTGAGAATTCTGAATTCAGTCACTTCGACTAATGTTAGGGTTGTTTTGTTCCTTTGCGGTCTTCGGGGGTCGAGTTTCGCGGGTTTTTTGGTGGATTCGGAAGGGATTCGATCTTGAACGACATGCTGTGCATGAATTTGTTAGAGTTTCTACTAGGTTTGAAAATTAGAAGCTCCAGAATGATGATCGCACACGCGACCTAACTGAATGGTTGGGGCGACATTTCACTCTTGATTTCATGAACCATGTTGAACCTGTAGTTCGACTTTGTTTCTGAAATCGGTGAATTCTCAATTGCACACGTTTTGTGTCTTTGGTCCTCACAAAAATTTAGTGAAATAGATTCTTTTTCTAAGAAATATACATGAGTTACTCGCTTCCTTACTAGGCGTTTCTCCTTCTCCCAATTGTTTTTTTATTTGATAATTAGTGTTATTCTTTTCATTGTGACGTTGTAACACTAATGTTCGGCCCCTTGTGGGTTGTTTCTGAATGCAGGAAGCTCAAGTTTTAGCGGACAAGAATGTCCACTATGAAGAGGTACTCTCACCTATGCAACCGTGTAAACAATTCTACAGTTGATGAATCATTTGCATGTGTGTAGAGATTTGAGTTTAGGGTCTCTGTCCAACCAGAGTTGCTCAATTCTCCAGGGAAGCATGAAACATTACTTGGAACATGGAACATAGCAGATACAAATCTGCTGCAGAGGCAATAGTTCTGTATTAGTTGTGTAGTCATACGGTTACAGCGATTAGTTCAATGCTTCGGCTGCTACTGTTACAGCTTAGCACATTTACTCGCGATTGAGACAGAAGTTCAGATGAAGATGCTACTAACCTAGAATTGTTAGTTTTGGGTGTTCAAGAGATTGACCTCAAGCGAAATGATGTGGTGGATTTCCAGGACTACTTTGAGCGGCGCGGACTAAAGCTGTTTACGTGTCGATGGCTGCCGGTACACAAAACGATCAAGGGACTCATATTCCTGTGTCATGGTACACATAGACTCCCCAACTTGATTGATTGATAGATTGATTATTTGAATTCTAGAGTAACCAACATGGACCTTCAACCTGGACAGTTTTTTCTGTTATCTGTCCTAACAATAGATTTTGCGCGGTCACGTTGCTAGGTTACGCTATGGAATGCAGCGTCTTCATGAGAGCCACCGGCATCCGGTTTGCGCAAGCAGGCTACGCCGTCTTCGGCATTGACCAAGAAGGCCACGGCAAGTCCGAAGGCCGGCGGTGCTATGTGGAGAGCTTCCAAGCGCTAGTGGACGACTCCATCGCTTTCTTCAAAAGCATACGAGGTACATACACGTATTCGACTATAAACTATCTTTCACGTTATTTACTTGTGGAACCTGTGATTGATGAAGCTTCGACGGTACAGAAATACACTGGAATTGAGATCACGATGATACTGATTCCAACAGATCTAGAAGAGAACCAAAACATGCCACACTTCCTGTATGGCGAGTCCATGGGTGGAGCGATTGCCCTCCACATCCACCGCAAAGAGCCCGTCGAGTGGACCGGCGCTGTTTTGCAAGCTCCCATGTGTAAAATCTCGGAGAGTGTGAAGCCACCCTCGATCGTCACCTCAATCCTGACGAAACTCGCTGGCTACATACCGACCTGGAAGATTGTGCCGGCTGCGAACATTATCGACAACGCCTTCAAAGATCCGATCAAGCGGGAGGAGGTAGCCGAATTTCCCAACAAGTTACCCATCTCTTGTACCAATCTATCAATACTCATACGCTTCCAAATATCTTCATAATCTGGTTCATCTCGCAATAGTACTAACTACACAGTAATCGATTCCCAACCAGATTCGCGCAAACCCACTAATCTATCAAGGCCGGCCAAGAGTGAAGACAGCTCTAGAGATGGTCAGGGCGAGCGAGGATCTCGAGAACCGTTTGGACGAGGTAACAAAACACGATCCAAGCCCATTCTGTGCTTTCCCTGCAGTGTCGAGGGTCATCAATCAGTCCTCTTTGCAAACTTCGAAACCCACCCATGAATCTTCAATAACCCATTTTGTGGAATCAATCGATTGATCACCAGGTAGTGCTACCGTTTCTGTTGCTCCATGGCGAGGAGGACCGCGTGACAGACCCGGACGTGAGCCGCGCACTATTCCAAGCCTCCAAAAGCAGCGACAAGGAATTCAAGCTCTACCCGGGCATGTGGCACGGCTTGACAGCGGGCGAGCCTGACGACAACATCGAGCTTGTGTTCAAGGACATAATTCTGTGGCTCGACAAGCGCACCTGCTCCAGCGCAGGGCGATCGAGTCCTCTCAGACACGCCGACGTCTCGGCTCTGCAATCGGCGACGTCGTCCTCGAAGCAGCAATCGGAGTCGGATATTGACACCCAAACTCACAAATTTACCGACGAGATCTGACACCTTCGCCGGTCCTTCCAAACCCTATTCCCCCTTACCAATGCCAAATGCCAAAAACATTGCTAGTAGGTGATGGTAATTTCCATGCATGTTTACTTGTACAAACAAAACAAGTAGATATATATTTGGATTAAAATTTTGGAACTATTTGTACCATAATTGTATTCACAAAAATGATATAATAGAAATTTTGAGACGTTGGGTTTTTCATATGTGTTTTTGTCAAAAGTGATGTTTAAAGATTGTATGATTTTTTTTTTCTTTTGTTTATTTTTTTGTAATTACAGATGTAATAGTAATGGATTATGTAGTTTGTTTGATAGTTTTTGTTTGTTTGTTTGTTTGTTTGTTTTTTATTGGTACGTAAGTGAATCTTCTTGTATATCTTTTGTGTAGAATGATAAGTTTGAAGTTATAGGTCATGTACAAAAAAAATAAAATAAAATAAAAATAAAAAAATAGAGGGATTTATACTTTGTGAAGAAGTATTATACAATTATCTATTTATTTATGAATAACATTCCAATATATATTCTATGGTTGTATTGTGTATAAAAGTTTGGATACATTAGCATCATAACATTTCCAAAGAACTTGGATAACTTTACATATTTGATATATTTTTAATTGTATGTATTTTAAAACTGGATGTCATTGTCAAAGAAATAAGATAATATTACATCTTTAAAAAAAACAAAAAAGTGGATGAATGCTCTAGCATAACATCATCACTAAAGGAGGTGAACAATCTTATATCTTTCATAAATTTTAATATATATATATATATATATATATATATATAGTATATTACTTTATGTCATTTTAAAATAATTTAAAACTTCTTTTAATTTAATTTTAAAAAAATTACAATAGATAATATAAAATTTTGAAATCATTGCAAAAAGAGTTTTAAAATTTCTTGTTGTTAGAATGAATTTGTGTTAATTCATAAAATCAGTCTTTTAAAGAAATATAAAATTCAAAAAAATATTAGGTAAAATAAGAAATTAATAATAAATATATGTGCTTAAAATATTTTTTTTACATATGTGTCTTAAATATTCTTTGATTATCTTTAAAATCTGATAACAATATATATACAGATATATTTTACTTGAGATTCCAAACATTGAAGTTCATGCTACAATCTTCAAATAAAAATTCCAAAAAACATTTTTCTAAAACTTGAGAAGTAATTTTTTGTATAGCAACATTGTATGAAAAATATAAATAAAAATAATAATAATAATAATAATAATAATAATTAATTGTAAGTTTTGGCACAAATCTCTTTGGGAATTTTCTCATTTTTAAATAAAATCTTGGTTTTCTTTTTAATGTACTAAATAAGTGCTATTAAATACTAAATTATAATTTGAAATATTGTATGTTTGTTGGAAACACTTGTGAAGTCAAATTTGACCTCTTTTTATTGTTTTTTGTAGTAATTTTGTGCAAGATAAATATGTGTTTTATTATTAATTAATCGTAGACTAATATTTACATCAACATTATTCAAAGAAATTATTTAAAATAAAATAATACAAGCATATTTTATTAAAAAAATACCAAGAATTGATTGAATATCAGAATATTTCTATTTTTAAATCATTGTCATGAAATTATAAAGAGATATGTTCCTTTACTATTTTTTAATAACTAACAAAAATTGATCAAAACAAGCCACAATTGTTGATCAGATTATTCTAGTCGAATACTACATTATCAAAATAATTATTTATTTTAAATTAAAAATAATTGTGTTTTACTAAATTGTTTCTTGAATAGGATTTAGAAGTTTGTATTTCAACTGAAATATTATTATCAACCATTATGTAACCAAGTTCATAAAATATGATTTTATATTTTTAATATTTAAATTGTGAATTTATTATGATCACTATGTAATTGATCCATATATATATATATCTATATATATATATATAGTATTTTCTAAAATACTATGTACTAAATCACTTTGACAAATAACTTCATTTGTGAATAATCACACAAGTGGGATCTTTTATGACCATGATCACGTTACAAAACAAATTCTTATTTCAAAAAATACCGCTCTCCACAAACACAAATTGTGCAAAACATAACATCTAGAAATGAATCCATCATCTTTTTCAAATCCTACAATAAATATATATATATATATATATATATATATATATATATATATATTACATACAGAGCATACAACCCATTACAATGAATTACACAAGCTCTACCCCGACCTCCACAAGCAAAGGAAAAGCCAAAGCTTGTTGTGGAATTGATAAAAAAAAATGCTTCAGTATGTGAGATTGACAAGGTTTATTTGTTTAGATCGATCCACGTAAGGTTTCTCAAGACACATGATGTTTCAGCAACGAGGTTCTAAAATTGCAGCATGACCAGTCTGAGTTCCATTGTCACTCTTCACTTCCACCGGACTCTCTACTGCGCTTCAATCGAGTAAAAGCCACCGAGTTTTATGTCAAAACTACACCTTTTAGAAAATCCATAAAATTGTTGAGATCATTAAATATAGCCGGAACTCTCCACAATATTTACTGTAGAATACAATAAATACTATAGCTATAGTATTTAGAGTCTAGTGGAGAAGTATTATTTATCTTCTCCCCTTTTTCTCTTCTTCTATATGAGACACAACCAAATCAATAGATTTTTGTGTATGAAGCTCTCTCTCCTTAGAAACTCTCTTGTGTGTATGACTTACTACTACTCTTGTGTGTGTGTATGACTTACTATTATTCTTGTGTCTTTCTAAACATTCTCAACACGTTATCAGCATGACTCTCTTCTACACACTATCACAATTTTTTTGCTCTAGTCTTGACTCTTCAAACTTGTTGCCACCCTTGCTCAATGTTTGCCTCATGATCTTGTTCTTTTTGCTGGCCCCTCACACATTAGCTGCTTGCTTAGAGTACTTGTTCCACTCTCTGCCCTGCTTGCTTAGAATACTTGATCCAGTCCAACTCCACCTTAGCTTGCTCCTTGCTCCCTACTGTGCCCCGCGCCTGCTACCAAACAGCCACCAAACCCGCCACTGCCGCCACTGCCACCCTGTCACCCGTCATTGCCGTTGCCCGTCGCTGTCACCCTATTGCCCTATTGCTGCCACCTTACCGCTACCTACTGCCACATTACCGCTGCCTGCTGCCACCATCTTATTGCTGTTCTGTTGCCTTAATCTACAACCTCTTTAAAAATATATATATATATATATATATATATATATTTTTTTTTTTTTTTTTTTTTTCAAGTTCAAGTTTATCATTTTATTTGATTTTATATTTTAAGGTACGTTTTACTCAACTTTTCTACTTGATCTTGTATTTTCTTTACAGATTTATTTATAATGAGTGCTTCAACATCCTCAACTGCTTCTACTATGGTTCCAACTATTACCAGTGCATCCCAACATTTTCAAGCTCTTTTATTTCCACCATTGACTGTGGATGGAAACAATTATCTATTATGGGAAAAAATGACAAAAGCAAACTTATTTGCAGAACAACTCTCGGATGTCATTATGTTTGAAGAATCTCCTACAATAAGTATTTCTATACCTCCTACTATTCGTTGGAAAGCACTTCTTCTCTTTCGTCGTCAACTTGTAGCTGTATTACAACATCAATATTTGGAAATGGAAGATCCTGGAGAACTTTGGAAGAATCTTAAATCTAGGTTTAATCTTCAAAAGACCATTTTTCTTCCACATGCACATCATAATTGGACACATTTATGTGTCTTGGATTTTCCAAATTTAAATGCTTTCAATAGTGAAATGTATAGTATTGTCTCACAATTACAATTATGTGAACAAAGCATTTCTGAAGAAGAAATGATTGAGAAAACTCTCTCTATATTTCTTCATGTATCTATTGTGCTTGCACAACAATACAGGAACATGAAATTTCAGAGTCATTCTGATCTCATATTCTATTTATTTCTTGTGGAGAAGCAAAATGAATTACTCTTGTGCAATGCGGAAGCTCGTCCTATTAGAACTACAGTTCCAAAATCTCATGCACTTAATATTTCAAAGTCTAAGAAGAAATTATATAAACATGGAAAACGTGCTCATAAGTATTATGGTAGTCATAGTCATGACCATTTCTACCTATATGGAAAGAATAAACGTTCTACTATTAATTATAGTAGAAAACAAAAATCAGAGATGCGTTCTTGCTATAAGTGTGGAATGATTGGACATTTAGTACATGCGTGCCGTACTTCAGAATGTTTTATTAAAATATTCTAAGAAAATAAGAAATTGCGAGCTGAGGCTCGTGAAGTTCATACTATGGATGCATCCATGGATTCAATTGATGTTGATGACTTAGAGGCTTATATAAATGATAGAACCTCTCATGATGAATCAAATGATGTACTCATTGATTCTACAACAATACATACTATCTTGTAAGATAGACGATTTTTTATTGAAAAATCTTCAACTTGGCAAAATGAAAATATGATGACCGTGGCTGGAGCAAATGCGTTTTGTTTCCAAGAGGGCACAACGATGGTAAAATTACCTGCGGGTTCCATCATAAAATATAAACATGCGATGTTTGCACCCTCAACACTTCAGAGTCTAATCAGCTACCAAGATCTGTGTATTAATGGTTATTATCTCTCGACCGCCACTTTTAATAGAAAAGAGGTTTTGATTCTTGCAAAGAACCATAAAGTTGTTGAAAAAGCTTTTGCTAAAGAAAATGGTTTATACCGAATTGTGATTCGGCCTCCCATTATATTTAATTTTGCATCATCTATTTCAAAGAGTCGTATTTCTCTCTGGCATGGACGATTGGGACATCCAAGATCCACATTATTTAAAAATATCATTCCATGTATAACTAGGTACAATTTAAAGCCTGCAGATGTAGATTCTATGGAATTATGTCGTGCATGCATGCAAGATAAAATGATTACTCGACCTACAATTTGGAAACTTCCACAAGAATTACCACCAACGCTTGAAAGATTACATAGTGATATTTGTGGTCTTATTAATCCAATATCATGATCATTTTGTTATTTTTTGGTCCTTGTTGATGCATCAAGTAAACAATCACATGTTTCATTATTATCAACTCAAAACATGGTGTTCGCTAATCTTATATCTATGCTTATTCGCTTTCGGATACATTTTCTTGATTATCCTATAAAAACATTGCATATGGATAAT